AAAGTACCCCAGGAAATGACCAGACTCTGGGCTTTTATGTATGAACTCTGGGAACCCCCCTCTCTAGCTGTAGGAGGAAAAGAAGTGTAATGTTTTAAATTAAGTGTTATAAATATAACCAGGGGGTTTCTTTTATTTAGATTTTCATCTAAGTTTAATAAACAAATTTGAAGCACTCAATTAAAGATGCAGAAAATATGCAAGAGAAGTACAACTAATCCCATTAAAAGTAAAATGACACATAAGGAGAAAGCTTTTGTTGTTGAATCCCTGCTGATAAGAAACAGAAGAGATGTTTAAGGAAGCCTTGGAAACTAGGTAGTAAATGACATTTATCCTTGATCTGAAATGCCTAAACATACAACTTTGTCAGTGCAGCTGAACTGTGACCTTCCAGCCTGCCAATACAGATAAACACACATGTCCTCAGGTAAATCATGCAGAAGAGACATTTCCTGAGGACTGGAGAAGCCCCACTTGTAGGAAATTATGGTTATTAACTCATTAGACTCTCTGTGTCTCTGTCTCTTTGTATGCAAGCTCTCCACACAGCTGTAAGGATAATTAGTTTCCTTTGGCTTAGTGAGTATTAAGGAGTATTAAAATGCTTAGTTGATATGGACAACAAACATATTCAGGGGCTGGGACAAAACCAGGCATAGGTGCAGGCAAAACCCCACAGTCTGAGAGAATCCTGATTCCAGGGTAGCTGGGATGGGTTTGTTGTGTTTGGATGCATGAAGATGTTTTTGTGGCAAATGTTACTGACTTCATCTGGTGAGTTGATTTGCCAAATCAGAACCAAATTAAAGGGTTGTTTTCCTGCTCTGAATTAGATTTTAGTAGTGCAGATGTGGATGGGCACCCCATTAGTCTGGCAAGAGGTTTGATACAGGAGATTTTTTGCCTCGGGGATACCCTGGATTCTTGCACGTTACTGAATTTGTGTGGTCAAATGGATAACATCAAGTCACTGTCATTATCCCATGGCCTCTGTTCAGCCTCATAAGTTGATCAGAGGACTGGAGCACCTGTCCAGGAAAGGCTGAGAGAATTGGGATTGCTCAGCCTGGAGAAAAGAAGCTTCAGTGATGGGTTTGCTCTTTGAGCTAAATCTTATGAGCTCTTAGAGGATCTATCATACCTGAGATAGCCCAGCCACTTCAAATGGTATAAAATTAGTAGGATGACTTCTGAGGTAGTGTTGGAAACAGAAGAGTTTTAATAAAAGGCAAAATAACAAAATTCTTGTCAAGAAAACTTGAGCTTGGGGCAAGAGGTTCTTGCTCTTGCTAAAACACTTCACAAAAGTGATTATTTCCTTTGTTCTCTTCTTTTTCTAGTGAATTATTTAGGTGGGACTTTTTGGCTTCTGTCTAATTGGGTAGCCTTAGGTTTGAGGTGAAGTCTTAAAGGTCTTATGAGGTGCCTTTTTACCAAATTGAGGAGAGAAACTTCTGGGCTTTTTTCCTTTTTAAGGAGACAAAGGATAATTTGGTCACTCCATCAACAGAGGGCACATTCCTACACTTCAGGTGACCTTACTGCCTCTCCCAGTCCCTGAGGGGAGTGCACAAGATGGAGAGAGGCTATTTGGAAGGGCCTGGAGTGACAGGACAAGGGAATGGTTTCAAACCCACAGAGAGAAGGTATAGATCAGTTATTAGGAAGAGTACAAGGTAAGTGTGTGAGGCCCTGGCTCAGGCTGCCCAGAGAAGCTGGGGCTGCCCCATCCCTGGGAGTATTTAAAGCCAGGTTGGATGGGGCTTGGAGCCACCTGGCCTAGAGGAAGGTGTCCCTGCCCATGGCAGGGGGTTGGGACTGGGTGAAATTTGGGGTCCCTTCCATCACCTTTCTATCATTTTATGTTTCTATGCTCACCCCAAAGTGGTCCAGCCATGCACTGCAGCTCCAGCTGTGCTCTGGTGGCTCTGCAGCCCACAGAGTTCTCACCCTCTACTCTTCAAAGGAATTTTTCTACTATTCTTTGCTAGAGGGTTCTCCCCAGCCAGGGCTAGGGTGTGTCAAACATGATTTGAGGTCACCTTCAGCTGTCTTTTTCCTGCCAGGAACAATAAAAGAGCATTGGGTCTGGGCCAGTGTTTGGAATGCATATTATGTGAGAGAAAGAGAGGATTTATTTGTCAAATAGGGCTTAATTTATTATGTGCAATAGGAAAGCTCTCATTTTTGTATTGCAGCAGAAAGACAATTGATTAATAATTTGGAAAAAGGCCAAGGCACACATTTTCCACCTTTGTAATTTGTCATCTCAGAGAAACAAAAGTGATATAAAAGGTACCTGAACAAAACAATTTATTAAGCAGAAATGAAAGCTGGTTCATATTAATGCATTTATTATGAAAGGGCTTTCTAGGACATTGTTGTTACTTACAGGAAATGTAAAAAATCTGAAGCTGATGCTTAGGACTATAGGAAATGTACAGAAAAGCTACAACTGATAAAATGGAGGAGCTCTTACTCAATTTTACTCCATTTTACTAAGTTAATAATAACTTCAGAAAATCTATATGAGACTTGAGATGTTAAGGTCACTGAAACAATGTCAGCAGCTCCTGGAAAGAATATAAAGTCAAATCTTCTTCATCATTAAATACAATCTTAACGGGAAAAGAAGTGTACAGTGTCTTCTAGTTCTTGATTAAATATCACATTGTGAAAGCAGTCATGTCATGTCCATGTGCCATGGAGCTTCAGAGATGCCAAAGATTTCATGTGCCAAAACCTCTTACACTGATGTGTTCAGAGATGGTTCTGATGTGTTTTGTACACACATTTCTTGGGCTTTGTAACATGGACCTGCTGCATCACTACAGAAAAGCTTAAAAAAGGAATCCTGCTTCCCAGCCTTGTTTTGCTGCCAGGCAGGAGAAAGGTTGTCAGGCAGCAAAATATGTCTTTTCAGCTTTTGAACCTAAAAGCAGAGCCTTATGTCTGCATGCACCACACATCATTTATTTCATAAAATAGAAAATTGTACAAACAACATAACGGAAGATAAAGAATTGTTAAAGACTAAGAAATACAGGAGCTGCTGAAGTTAATACAGCATTCTTCATTGTGGCTGCAGGGGTACAGAGCAGCCAGTACCAGGTGTTTGCTGGCAGAACATTGGGGATCTCCCTCTAGAATATCTGCTTTGTTTCCTCTTCCTGCCCTCTTTAACCATCAGGAGACCTTGGACTTCTCTGTTTCTTCTCCCCCATCCAGTGTCCTCATCTCCTCTTCCAAGGGACATGGAATCCCTCTGAAATGATTTCCCAGCACAGTTCCCCCTCCTTCTTTACCCCAAACATCTTTGCCTGTTCAGCTGGACAGCTCTGATACATGATGCTGAGATTTAATCAGATCAGGGGTGTTGGAATTGTTTGTGTGCTGTTGTGGGTTTGTGTGTGCCTAGGAGTGTTACAAGGGTGAGAGTCCCATGTTTTGTTACTGCACTTTTAGGGTCTAGGAAAGAAAGTTTTCATCTGATTTGAGGGCTTTAGCATCAGAGCATAAACACTGAGTTTTCCCCTGATCACAGTTGTTAAAACACTTACCATGATACATTAAAATAGATATGCTGTTCTTATTCAAAATTGGCAGTTATGTAAATTACAACAAATGTTCAAAGTATAAAAGGAAAGAAAACAACCAAGTCTTAAGGTTTTCTCTCACAGGAAAACCTAATTCTGTAGCATTTTATTTTGCTAGAAATTTGTCCTTGTCAGAGCAACGTGCGCAAACATTTCAATCTGATTAACTCAATCTAATCAAAATAATGGAAACAAAATTAAAACTGACTTCATCCTGCAAGCCTAAAACTGGGGATAGGACTTCACTTTATATTTGCCTGTATAAAATACTGTGATCTAGAGAGAATATCAGGGTATTCTATGATTCTGTGAAGACCATCAATGTTTCTGAGACCAGACTGTGCACCCTGATGGAAGCAATTCTGCAGTGTCTCTGCCCAGGCAGTTCAGGTTATTCTGCTTTTGCTCTGTGTTTGCTGCTAAGCCACATTGCATCCATACCTACCCACAAACACACATGCTGGCTGGCCTCAGGTTCCTCTCTGGGATGCACCAGCTCAGAGTCACACAGGGGGTCAGCTTGGAAGGGACCACAGCAGCTCATCTGGTCCAACCTCACTATTTAAGCAGATCACATGGCACAGGATTGCATCCAGATGGTTCTGGAATATCTCCAGTGAGGGCAACCCCACAACCTCTCTGGGCAGTCTGTTCAGAGCATGGTCACTGCACAGGAAAGTTCTTCCTTATGTTCAGGTGGAACTTCCTGGGCATCCATTCCTGTCCCCTCTTGTCCTGATCCATTCCTGTCCCCTCTTGTCCTGACCCTTTCCTGTCCCCTCTTGTCCTGATCCTTTCCTGTCCCCTCTTGTCCTGATCCTTTCCTGTCCCATCTTGTCCTGATCCTTTCCTGTCCCCTCTTGTTCTGCTGCTCAGCACCACTGAGCAGAGCCTGGCTCCATTCCACCCTCTTGACACTCTCCCTTCTTTCCCTGCATGAGGGTTTTTGGGCACATCCATCACAGGATGGTTTGCTAAAATACCCACCTGGATGTGCAGAATGCCAAGGCTGTCACCCCCTGCCCTGGCCACTCTTCTAACCCTGTCCCAAAAGGCTCAACACCCTCAAACACACCCTTCTGCCATGCCATGCACGTGCCTGTGTTTCCTGCTGTAAAACACTTCAATGGGCTGCATCACAGTGATCTCTTACACCAAACACTTCAAATCCAAAAGAACAAAATGGGATCCAGAGCCTGTTGCACCCAAGAGCACGAGGAGGGGGTCAGTGCATGCGAACACTGAGCAGACTGGACAAGAACCAGTGGATAACCCCCAGATGAGCAGCCAGGCAAAAGAGAGTGACTGTAGGCTGAAGCCTTTCAGACAGAAAGCTGCTGCTCACTGAGTGCCTGTGTTTAAAGATGCTTTAAGCTTTTCTTGCTGTTTTGACTTTTTCAGAACCTGAGGCGGGAGAGGTGTCCCCCCCAGTGGGAGCTGGTGTGAACAGCAACAGCTGGACCTTTAAATTCGGACCCGGCAATTCCAAACAAGGTGGTCCTGGTGAGTTGCCAGACAAATTCATTATCCCAGGATCTCCTGCAATCATCTCCATCCGGCAGGAGCCACCAAACAACCAAATTGACAAAAGTGACTTCATAACCTTTGGCAAGAAAGAAGAGACCAAGAAAAAGAAGAAAAAGAAGAAGGGGAACAAGACTCAGGAGAAAAAAGAAAAGGGCAACAGCACCACTGAGAACAGTGACCAGTGAGGGAGTTATACTGAAAAAACCCTCTTAGCCAGTTTTTGTAATAATGGCAGATTTCTCCTATGTAGCAAATCCCAACTTCTTCCTATTGTTAACAAATTTCCTGTATATACAGACTTGAGAAAATCAGCAGGAAATTCAGTGTCTGTCTAAATTGCTTAACAGGTTTTGTCTTAAAAGCTTTATTAAGTCTGGTGTTAACTCTTTTTCTCCACTCTGGCTTGTTTTCAGAATCTAAAAAGCAGACACAAGTTTCCTTTCTCCTACGCCGAAAAGGAGAATCTTCACAGTACAGCCAGTGAGAGGTTGGACTCTGCACTGTGGTTCCTGTGCTCCTGTCTTGATGACACTTACAGGACAGGTTTAAAAGTTTTAATGTTGTGCACCCTCTATCTGATTGGAAATATTTGTGTGCAGATGTCAGCTAGGTGATACGAGATCAGATTATAAAATGCAAGAAGAGCTGGTAAATATGCAACAGAGGAAACACCTAATGAACACAAATGTTCAAAGATGTTCAGGCTGGGGAGAAAATGTCTGAAAGGAGATGAGCAGACTTATCAAATCCTGAGAAGTCACTGTGTGGAAATACTGACTCCTATACTTGACGTATTGTACACACTGCTTCAAATGAAACCTCACATTTACAGCTCTTTAAGACACCATAAATTCTATCTCTTTACCAAGCAAGCCATTGGAAAAATTGTCCCTTAAAGCCCTGCATTGCCCTGGTAAGGCTAGCCCTCAGAGAGTAACAAGGGCTGGGCTGACATCCCAGGAATGTAACTGTGATGCTGTGTGTCCCTATTTCCACATAATTTTGCACATTATGTCTCTGAAAAGGTCAGAGTTTTTCCACGACACTTATGCAAAAGAGAGAAAAAAAGTAACATTAACTATGCTATTTGTTATTTGAGATATTTATTTATAAAGAAATATAGCTGTAAATGTTAAAGAAATATGATGCCCTTTAACCCAAACAGAAGTCAGTCTAGAGCCATTATAAATTACAATTGCTGCTATTAAAGTGCTTTAGAAAAATTGCCTGAAACATCTGTATTATATCGGCCACTTGCCAATCACAGCTTTATTCTGTCGGGTGACTTGGGGGCTGCCTCTTGCATGTAATAATAAATACAAGAATATCTTTTTTTTTTTGCATTATTCTGCACTTTGAATACACCTTTGCAAACAAACTGTCCTAATATGAAGAAGCAGAAGCGAACTCCTCACACAGATGGATTTACTAACCTGCTAGCTCTGTGCAGTACCTTGGTGTTACCTCCCACACGACCTTTTCTGATTTTAGTTTTACTTTTCTATGAGATTATGAATTTCTGACCCTACTAACACTCCTTATGTAAAATTCAAGTACTGTATGTATGCTGTATGCTCTTATAAGAATCCTGAAATATTTATTCTGTGCTTGTGTATGTGAATGTCAATGCAACTATTATTAGAGTGGACTTTAAGCTTTACCGTTGAATGTAAATTCATTATTTCTTTTTTGTACACTTGTGGAAAAGTGGAGTAGTGTTAATTTTTTAAGCCACTGTTGATTATCAGTTTCTTTTGTGTATGAAACACAAGTAAAATATCTTTCTTAAACCAAGCCATGCATGCATTTTGGGATTTATTGGTGAGAATCTGTGAAGCTGAAGTTCTGTGAATTACTAAACCTAAGGGTATAAATGGAGTATTGAATGTGGTTGAGGATGTTGATTTAAAACCAATACATGTATTTTTAAAAAGAATATGGCTGATGAGGGAATTCCAAGGAGTTTTCTACATTATTGTACATTCACAGAATAAAGCTCAAGTGTCGTGTTAATTGGAACTGTGTAAGAAACTACATAGCTCTGAAATTTCCAAAGGCCCTTTAATCTAGGATCAAAGAGAACAACTGGATTTCTTGAGACATGTCCTGGATGTTTTAAGTTTCCAAACTGCTGACAGTTCAGAATAGAACAATTCCTATTCATTTTTAAGAACCTGCAGCAAATCTTAAAACATCACAGCAAAGCTCTAATAAAAGAATTCATATCTCAAAGCATGAACCACCAATGGCCTCATGTGGTCTATTTAGAGTCTTCTTTTGTTACCAGTCTTGTTTTACTGGCAATAAAAAGGTGCTACTTAAGAAAGATAATCCTTGATTCACTTTTAAAGGCTAGACAAGAGGAAAAAAAAACCTTAAGTTTTGGGGAGGGAACTGTTCTTTTATGCAAATGTGCTATGCAAGTACATTTAGGTGTTTATTTTTATTTGGTGACTAATCCAACAGCTCCCAAAACGTTCATCAACTGTAGTTACAGTGGTAGCTTAAACACACAGAAGAATACTGTTGTTATGTAGTCATCATAAAATAGCTCTCTCAATGCCTCTGGCAAAAATTCAGTACAAAGATTGAATTCTTACAGGAATCTTCTACACTTGATTATTTTTAGATTTTAATTGAATATTGGTTTTTCTTTTGAGTGCTTGCATTTTCCCCTATGCAAGCCAGTCTGACTCATTCATTTTTCATCAGTGGCCATACACAGCTGGTTTTCCAAGGCTTGCATCTATTAAAATGAACCAAGAGCTGCAGCATGTCTCAAATTTGCTGGTTTTAACACAATATTACATTTACCAATGCTGCCTTTATTGCAGGTGCTTACTGCAGGGGGACTGTATGCTTGAGTGCCTGGAGAGACAAAACATAATCTGAAGATAATCCAGCATGATTATCAATGATGATAATCATTCCAGTCTGGAGAGCTGATAGAACAGAGAAAAAACTCTCAGAGGAGAGGAGAAGCTCTTGCTGGAATTGTTTCAAAAGAGGCTGGGATGCACTGGGAGAATATACATCCCACACACTCACTGTGTTGTCTGAATACTGAATCAGGCACCTCACCAGATTTTATAAAGATTTTTCCATATTTGGACCCTCTGGGACAACTGGAATGCTGAGATGTCTGCAGTGAAATTTGGCTATTTCATAACTAATATACAAATGATACCATTGACATCCTTATTTTGGGTGTCCAAGAGGAGAAACCCTGGCAAGAAATATGTTTGGAGGACCAGGGGTAGGTGGGGGCAGGATCTGCACATTCTACCACAGTTTAGGGGTTACTGTTTTAACACCACACAACAATGCAAATTGAGAACCAGAGGTGGCCAATAACAGCTCAAATGAAGAAAAAAAAATTATTTAATCCTCCTGCTGACAATGAAATGAGCACGACAAAATACACTGCAGAGTTTGCTAACAAGGAAATTACAGTTTTGGGGCTTTTTGCCACTTGAGCAATTTATGTCTTTCAGAATCCATATATACCCTCTGTGAGCATATTGTCTTTGGAAGTCTGGTTTCTATGCATACAAGATCAGTGATGAAAACTATTGGGCTTTTATAACAATAAACCTGAGCTATGTTGTATATTAATTACATCCTGTCATTAAAAAAAATCTCATTTTACATTAGGCTTCTAAGACTTGGTCTTGTGCAGTTTCTTTCTGCTCAGTCCATGGGTCATTGCACATCATATGAGGGGATCTGATTAAAAATTTTCCAATCATCTCACATCAGGGGAAGAACACAGAACCCAAAATGCCATTCCCAAACTTCATATATGAAGATCAGTCAAAATTAATTGCAGGTAGTTTTGATACCTTGTAGAATCTTCTTTCATTTCTGCTTTTACTTCACTCATTCAAGAGCTGCTTGTGTCAACAACTGGGTAAAATAAACCAGGTGCAATTTTCCTTCCAAATCCAATTCTCCCCTCCCAGCAGTTTTGTGGCTCTGGTGTAAGACAAATATTAAGGAAGGAGCTGAGCCATTTTTATAATTTGAGTCCTAAAAAAATGAGCAGGGTCCTCAGTTTTGCTGTTATTTGATTGCTTAGAAACTATTGACTGCTCCTTGACAAAAACACCTTTTTGAGACAGTGCCAAGAGCCCTGTGTTCTGCTAAGGCTCCTGTAAATATGCAGAAACTTTAAATATGCAAACTTTAATCAAAAGTTTGACTTTGGTAAGTGAGTGTACCCTGAAGTCCTTTGGTTTCTTCCTCTACAAGTCTCTGAAGGAGAAAGGAGTGAACAGCTGACAATGTTTTGGTATCACACACAGCTGAACCTGCATGAAGCAAACAGCTGCTCTGGAAAGCAGAGCTGAGGGCTCCAAGCACAGCCATAATAAATCCTGGATGGAAAGGGCTTCCTGTGGTGGCTGGAATCAGAATTAGGCTCACACATGCCTGGGTGGCTTGGCTGTACCAAAACTGAGCAGACAGAGAGTGCAGAGCACAGCTCTGACAGAATAAATGCTTTATCACGTTGGGCTGACCTTGTGCAGCTTTAACCAGCATGCTATAGAATCAATATTGATGGCATATACATTAATTTTCCATTAGCTCTGGATGGGGGATGCTGTGCTCTCTGCTCTCCTGGGTTCATTCTGCTCTCTCTGGATGCCCAGAGGGATCCCTGCAGGATCCAGTGTCGCTGCTCTGCCTTTGCAGGGAGGTGTGGGCATCCAAGCACTTACGGAGACAAACCTGTCCTGGGCTCATCCCAGAGTGTGGCCACCAAGGGAGGGGGTTGTGCCCCTGTGTCCCTGTGCTCAGGTGATTTCCCACCTGCAGAGCTGCCCCAGCCCTGGCCCAGCACAGGCAGGAGCTGGAGCTGCTGGAGCCAGGCCAGAGGAGGCTCCAGGATGAGCAGAGGGATGGAGCAGCTCTGCTGGGAGGAAAGGCTGGCACAGCTGCCATTGTTCACCTGCACAGGAGAAGCTTTGGGGGGACCTCAGGGTGGCCTTGCAGGGCCTGAAGGGAGCTGGCAAGAAAGATGGAGAGAGACAATTGACAAGGGCCTGGAGTGACAGGACAAGGGAAATGGCTTCAAACTAAGAGATTGTCAGTTTAGATTATATGTTAGAGAAAAATCTTTCCCTGTGAGGGTGGGGAGGCCCTGGCACAGGCTGGATGGGATCTGGAGCAATCTGGTCTGGTTGAATGTGTCCCTGCCCATAACAGAGGGGTGGAAGTAGTTCATATTTAAGGTCCTTTCCAACCCAAATCATTCTATGATTGTATATATAAAAATCTGGGGCATGGTTATATTGTTGTACAGAACACTTCAATACCCACTGTCAGTGATAATGCTGCTTAGGTATCATGAAAATCTGATTTTTCAGAGTGATTCTAATATGGTGACATTAGGCACCTACTTCTAGAGTATTTGTAGTCCAGGTGCCTTAGGCTGCCTTAGAGAACCAATGAATGAAATCCTCCAGCATGAAGTACCACAGATTTATCTCTGCCACATGAAAAGAGCATATCTTACAGTGCACCATGGATTGCCTTTCATATCCCAGGACAGCCTCCATGAAATCACTCTGACACAGGTATTAACATCAAAAGATGACAGAGATGTGGTGAAGTAAACATCTCTCAGAATGCCACACAGCTTGAAAATACTAAAAATGTTAAAAATGTTTGCCTGGCAGTGGTGCCCAGAGCTGTGTCACTCTCGTCTGCAAAGAGACAGCAAGTGACTCATCCACATTCAGGAACTGATGTCTGAAGCATATTACAAAACAGATATGCTAGGCTTAAAAACCAGATTTTAAAACCTTGACAGAGGGTCAGAAATACCAAGCTGGCCTTCACACCCAATGGAGCAGCCCTAAGTCTGTGTCACTGCCACTCCTCAGCTCCCTTGTTCCTTCACTGTGGTGGAGCAGGAATCCTGAAGAGAAAATGCCATTTATGCTGCCAGGTGGGAAATATTCCCCTCCAGGCACAGCATGGCAGCAGGCACAGAAATTCTGGGGTGTGGGCACACCTGGGGGGCACAGTGAAGGGTGACCATGTCACCAAGGTGCCATCCCAGCAGGAGTCATGCCTGAACCTGAACCAAGTGTGAGACCCTGAAGGGCTCCCTGGGAGCTCAGCAGTGGCTGGTGCATCCCTGCTGGGGCATCAGATGTGATCTCAGGCTTCAGCACTGAGCTGGGGGAGCAGAGCTGGCCCTGGCAGCCCCATTCCAGCTCCTTTGGCAATATTTTATGAACACCTCGAGTGTCTTGGCACCACTTGAGCTGCACTGAGGAGAATTAGAAAGTCCTTGCCCATTAATTACAGGAATGGTGCTGCACAGCAAGGCTGACATGATATATAATTGTTGAAACACATCAATCACAGCCAGCCTAGACTTTCAATCCTGTAATAGTTTTCCTGTTAAATAAATCCTTCAGCTGTTCAGTGGCTAAAATTCCATTTATTGCAGACTCAGTGGGAGCAATGTGTGTGGTTTGGGGGAAGCTAGACTGAAAATATCCTAAGCAAGCCCCCAGTGTGTCTTAGCCCCCATGAAGGGAGGCATGACTCACTCCCTACCTTGAAGAACTTCCTTCTGTGGGTGTTTAAAGAGTCCTGCCTGAAGTCTCTCAGTGGAGTGATGTGCTGAGCAATTACAAACCAAATCAACTCTGTAAGTTGGCACTTAAGGCCTTCCATACATTGCCACTCCTACCCCCAAATTATCCACACTGTTCAAGCCTTTACTGGCTGATGTCCAACTTCCTCATCATCACCCGTGGTGCAAACAGCCTTAGGCT